AAGATTAAATAAATTAATTAAACTTTCCTCTAACGAACGTAAAACAGCAATTCAAAGTCTTCACAGTTCAATGGGTCTGTGATGCATGAGATCATATGGTTTAAGAGCAAAATGTTCTGAGACATCGTGTAACAGTTTATTCTTCTTTTTGGGGGATGTGGGAGACACTTTTTTGTGATGTATCCTGGAGAAAAAGGTGTAGAGGGGAACGATCGGAGCTGAAATTCAAAATCGTTCGAGTTAATTCAATTGTGTTATATCACTGAAAAAGACATTCAGTCAGTGTGAAAGTACTGAGAAGAAAGGCATATATTGCCCGCCAATCTCCTTCTGAGTGCTTGTCTGAACGTGTAAAAGTCATCTGTCGGCCCATCTTTGATGATAGCTTGTCCAGTATCTTTTCTCACTCACACATATCACAGCCAAACGGTTCTGCATACAAAGAGGCCTCCACAAAGCTTTTCCCTCTTGTTTGTTCATCTCTCGTTTTTTTTAAACAGCGTCATATTCTTCCATCCTTGCTTTATATTTTATATGTGTGGGGCTGAGGGGACCAATAGTCGAGGAGTCTACATTCCATCCGCATGACTTGACCTACTCGCTCTGGAGAACATTTGGATCAGGTGTGGAGAAGGGAGACGCACGTGAGCTGATTTCCTCATCGGGGAGATGAACAAAGGTCAGGTCATGAAACTGAAGCGACCAGGCTGAGAGGAAGTGCAGGCTGAGAGGAAGTGCAGGCTGAGAGGAAGCACAGGCTGAGAGGAAGTGCAGGCTGAGAGGAAATGCAGGCTGAGAGGAAGTGCAGGCTGAGAGGAAATGCAGGCTGAGAGGAAGTGCAGGCTGAGAGGAAGTGCAGGCTGAGAGGAAGTGCAGGCTGAGAGGAAGTGCAGGCTGAGAGGAAATGCAGGCTGAGAGGAAGTGCAGGTTGAGAGGAAGTGCAGGCTGAGAGGAAGTGCAGGCTGAGAGGAAATGCAGGCTGAGAGGAAGTGCAGGCTGAGAGGAAGTGCAGGCTGAGCGGAAATGCAGGCTGAGAGGAAGTGCAGGCTGAGAGGAAATGCAGGCTGAGAGGAAGTGCAGGCTGAGAGGAAATGCAGGCTGAGAGGAAGTGCAGGCTGAGAGGAAGTGCAGGCAGAGAGGAAGTGCAGGCAGAGAGGAAGTGCAGGCTGAGAGGAAATGCAGGCTGAGAGGAAGTGCAGGCTGAGAGGAAATGCAGGCTGAGAGGAAGTGCAGGCTGAGAGGAAATGCAGGCTGAGAGGAAGTGCAGGCTGAGAGGAAGTGCAGGCAGAGAGGAAGTGCAGGCTGAGAGGAAATGCAGGCTGAGGGGAAGTGCAAGCAGAGAAGAAGTACAGAGTTTGGGAGAAGCAGGGTGGCTTCTGAGTACCACCTCCAGGATTGGAGATGGTAGGTTTAGGTAAGGTAAGTAAGTTGGCTAACGGCCCGGTGGAAGTAGAATATATTTTCTGGTGTTGTGATCGCGCTCGGCACTGAGCTTGGATTTGTGTTAAGTAACATTTAAGCAAGTGGAACTGTGTCTGCCTCTGATTGCTATGCTGCCACTGTAATCTGTGTCCTCCGAGTGCTTCTGTTACATTAGTTTGAAATGGAGTTCATCTGTCCTTTTTAACGAAGCAAGAGTAAGTCCAGCCATTAGTGCCGGGACTGTTCAGTGAGAATGAATGTTCTCAACTTGCCAACGTAGAGTTAAAACAGAAAGTAATCAATAGGGGATCTGGGAAACATGGGGGAGACTTCAAATAATGCTAACGAAAACCCGGCAGATTCTGTCTACGAGTTATAATTTGAGCGCCATTAGTGTGTCGGGGAGAGGGGTAATCATCGCTCTCTGTCACATCCAACACAATGTTAACAACAAGGCAATCAAACTCTGCAGACTCCTGTCTGGTGTTTAATCATGCAGCTCTGTTCCTGCAGTCACTCACCATGACAATGCTGCGCTTTGTTCTTTGTTCCTTCTTTGTGCCGTGATCTTTTCATCTTTTCACCCGGGCAGGAATAGCTGCAGTAGCCTGTGGCGGCAAAATGCGGAACAACGCTGACTTTATCGGTGGCGTACAGCTTCTAGTTATGACACAGAAAGTAGTGAGTTAACATTCCCTCGAGGCAAACAGGCTTCTCACCGACATTCAAAACACAAACACGGTCACATGCGCAGTAGCGTCCGCTGTCAACCCTGATTCTGTTGACCCGTGACAGGACGGCCTGTCAGCTGCCGTGCGATGTCTGCGGCTCGTCTCCCTTGGTCGGATGGCCAGCATGTGCCTCGGGTCTCCCCTTGCCCATACACATCCACCATGATTTACAGCCGCCCCCCCCCGACAACAGGCTTTTTTTTTCTTTTACCACGTCAGCAATCCTGAATTACCATGAATTCCTTCGTGGCTTTTCTGCAATAACGTCAATAATCAACTGCACCTCGCGCAGGTTCAATAGTATTGAACCCTCTCGTCAAATACAGAACGATACCCGTATTCATAAAATAACAATAATGAAACCGTGACTTTTCCATTTTTAGTAGAAGGTTCATACTCCGCGTGGTCTTTTGAGCGTGTTGTCTCTGTGGCTTTTAACAATAAAGTAACACAATTGTGATGAATGATCATCCCCGCCACGTTTTTATTGCTTTTCTGTTATTCCATCAGTTTGTCGTGAAACGCTCCTGCCGAGGATGTGTGTGATCCTAATGAAAACACTTCAAATCATATATTAATGCAAAATATATATATATATATTTTAGCTGCATGGTTTATTTTTCCCGTAACCGTTCATGAAATATAAACAGAAAGGAGCAGATTGACCTGACAGTACATGTACAGCAAAAATAATAATGGGTCAAACCGGAGTTCTCGACAGACCTGAACTCTTGAGTTTATTATGAAAGACTCGGGACGCTTATCTGATGTAAAATCATCAAAACAAGTCATGCGTCAAGTTTTGTCTAAAAAGGTGAAATCGCTATTAGCGGAAACACCCCAGAGAAAGAAAAGAGATCGCGTGTGAACACTCTCTGCTGGCGGCGACAGATGGGGAGTTCTGGCCGAGGTCAGTTTGAGGGCTCACATTCCGATGAACGCATGCACGAAGGCTCGGATGCTTTATTCCGCAGCTGCAGCCCTGTGAGAAACAAACCGCGACCTATCGGGCTGCAAGCAGGCGGCGGGGGCGTTCACTCCTTGTACTCGCCCTGGAGCACGCTAGGATGCAACTCGAGCAAAATGTGCACGGGTGTAAAATAGTTGAATGTTGTTCAATCTGAAGAAATAAAAAGCAGGTTCGACTTTGTATCATTTCATCTAATTAATCAAACAGCAATAAAATCAAAAATTAGGTTGATGTTGTTTGTTACGTTAATGATGGATTAGAGTGTGTTGGGAAACCAGTAATGTGGGACGACTGGCAGGCTGATGCAGAAACACCGTCCCGCCGCAACGGAGGGCGTCGGTCGATAACACCTTCCTCAAAGTGTCTTCCTGCCAAGTGCAGTAATGAAACCAGAGCAGAGACGTATCGGGTAGGATGGGGGGGTTCTTTTCGCCTATCCGACCCCCTCTCCCCCCTCTGCGGTGGCGATCCCATTATCATTAAGAGTCCGAAGGAACACGAAGGAGGCGTCGTGCTGCTGACCCAGCTGAAATAAAACGGCTGTTTCTCAGCTGCCGGGGGTCTCGGCTTTCAGGCCTCTGCCAATGCAATGTTAATCAAAAACAAAACAGCGAGCTGCGGGACCCCTGAGAGCAGCTTTTGATGTGTCTCCCGTCCTCGTAGAAAGCGAGGCGGCCCGGCGGTAACGCGGCGTGCACCTGCTACCTGCATCAGCAGAAAGCTCGCGCGCTGATATGAACAGTCGCTGGTTGTGCTGCTGCGGTAATTGCACTTGGTTTACCTAATGGCCCTTTTCAATGGCTGGCTGAAAAGAGGTGCACTAAGGTGGGATGAATCTATAATAGACCCGCTCCCTGTCCAGACACTACGTGCGCCGACAGCCTCCTCACTTCCCCACTCTTGTCTCTCATTAACACACAGATGCCCAGATGTTGGCTGTTTTGTTAATAAACCGCAGTATGTGTCGCGCTCATGAGGAAAAATGATTTGCCAGCTGTTCAACCCCCAGCTGCAGAGACTATTCACTGTGTTGTGGGTGCTTAACACACACACGCACACACACATGCACGCTGTAGAAACGCGGCTGAGAGAGAGCAGTCCCGTGCGCCTGCATGTTACGAGCCACAGCGAGAGGCCAGTGGAGGTTTCCGACACCTTTTAACAGTCTGTTGTTAATCAATTAGCAGACGACTCACTGAGCTGGAGGCCGGCGGTAAACTGCCAATAAACCCGGGAAAACTGACTGACGGGTACACGGTGAGGCCGCTCAAGAGGAAAGTAACTATTGGCAAGCCTTGCTGCACAGTCGGGCTGGCGGGAATGCTGCTGGGATGTCAGCCTTCTGAATTTGTTCCTGTGCACGTGTGCATCCACATTTTCTGCAGGCCGGCCAGATGATCCGTATGGTCAGGGTCGGGTCGAGCTGGGCTCAGCTTCCTAACAGCCAGCCATCCCAGAGAGGGCTCATCATCATCAGCTGGGCGCTAGTGTTCATGGCCCGGCTAACTACTGGGATGAGTGGAGGGTTTCTTTGAGAGAGTGTGTGTGTGTGTGTGTGTGCGCAAGTCTGGCTCCAGCTCTCCGAAGTCCTAAAATGCTTAATTCCTGAGGTGTGTTGTCACGGTGACGATAGGCTGTCAACCCAGAAACAACAGATTTTGAGGCTTGAGCAGATATTTAAGATAATACTAGCGTAATTAATACTCTTTTTATTGTCCTTTTGGATGTGGGTTTAAATACTCAAAATTACACACTCTACGCACAAAATGACGCATTTTATACTAAAGTAATTCCTTCGCATATAGACGCTTTACACCCATCATGTTTCGTTACATGCTCTGAATCTCTTCTTTCTCCTGTTGATTTTCTCTCTGCAGGAGAATACGTGGTGCTGACCGTCTACTTTGACCTGAGCAGGAGAATGGGCTACTTTACCATTCAGACCTACATCCCGTGCACCTTGATTGTTGTCCTCTCCTGGGTCTCATTCTGGATCAACAAGGATGCGGTACCTGCAAGGACGTCGTTAGGTAAATGCAAAAAGATAACTTTAAATGAATGCTGCCGCCACATTGCTCCCAACTGCTCTACATCAAAAATGATCCAAAATGATTAGAAAGAAATAGTTTGGATTGATTTCATGTATTATTTCAGTCACCTCATCCCTCTCCTCCATAAATGCTTGTGAAGCCATGACGGTGTCTTTGCTGGAGTACATTTTTATAATCATTCCACTTGGCCCAAACACACACACACGCTTCAGATGTAGCAGAGAGGTTCATTAGCGAGCCTGGCCTTAATTACTCTGCTGTGAAACACATCAAAAACCCCGTGGTGGTCAGACACCACCTCAAACCGAAAAGCAATCTGCATAAACTTCCTCTTTCCTTTCCGGCCGTCCCTTTTTTGTCTCGTACACTACAATCCTCTCTCCTCCTCTTTTTCCCTCTAAGACCGGCCAGCTGCTTAGAAATCTGGTTCGTCTTGATTAGAAAAATCTATCCTGCCCCATATGTTTTCATACATGCCCTAATGAGGCATTAATTATACACTACAGCGGGGAGGCTGCAGAGATGCAGCCTCAGCACAATAAGAATGCAGGTGGCCCCCGAACTGAGTGCAACGAGGAGACACCCGATGGAAAAAAAAAGGGGCGGCGAGAGTGAGGATTTTTTAAGGAGATTCATCAGCTTTTTCACTTGCCCTTGGCGACCATTGGACATCTTTAGAAGTTCACTCGTGATGGGAGTCACATACATATTACCTAGTCAGCTTTCCCCGTTGGCCTCTTGAGGACCCGAGAGCCTGACCCCCGAGTCAGTGGGATGGGATGATTAGTGAGCATAATGCAATGGGAAACAATCCCTGCAGGAAGAAAACCTCTTTCTACCTCACTAGCGTTGCTACTTTGCCCATGATTAATCTGTCTAAAAATAGGTTGTTTTGATTTCCCCTTGCCTATGCAGCTCCAGACATGATCTGCAGTCTAAAGAACAACACCTTTTAATTCCCTGCTAAAATTGCACCAAGAGTCAAGCATTTTAATTTCCGTTGAAAGATGATGCAGGAAGCGCAGGAAGCCAGGTGGTTATGAGGCGGATTAAATGCAGATGACATAATCCCTAATCCTTCAATGGCATCCAGAAATATATCAATTGACTTGCAATACCGCAATGTTAAGCTTGACTTAAAATGATGTCTTTCTGTCGGCAATAACTTCAAACAAGTCAGTTATTTGTTTGTTGGTGTAGGAGAGTCGCCATGGCGCTGTTTGTAATAATAGTATATCAGTCATTTCCTCGTCGTGAGTGATCTCCCCGCCTCCGTCTATAGTGAATCATTATGAATCAGAGCTTAAAAGGGTCAGAGGGTTACCAGATGGTGGATAAAGGAGTGGTATGTTAGCGTGATGGTCAATGGCTGCTGAACCATTAACCAGCAAAGTGAATGGAACCATAGGACAGCTGCTCCCTCCGTCCTCATCGAACTCACACTAATCATCTTTCATATATATATATATATATATATATATATATATATATATATATATATATGTAGAGACAGTAAATGTATGTTATTGTTGATCAAAATAAATCTTAAGTGCTACTTTAGAAAATGATACCAGAAAAGGAATCATTTGATATGCATCGCCGGGAAAATCTGAACTCCACAGACAAGAATACGGCTTTGTGTATTTCAAGTCTTTTAATGCGCTGGAAAAAAATAGCTTTGCATTCTGTAACATGAATAAAACCTCACTTCATCTTGAAAACTATTTCGAGGTGAATAAACTTCAATATTGTTAACTCTCCTTTTTTTCACCTAAATATATTTCTGAATAAACAATGTTGCCTTTTTAAATGTATGAGAAAATAGTCTAGTATTTTTGCATTAAATAAGAATTCAGAGTGTAAAATTAACGTGCAGTGAAAAAACGTACAGTACAACTGAACACACACGTTCCTATTTTCTCATATTTGTATCTCAGTTTGTGTCTCCTCTTATCTCATTACCAGGTATCACCACTGTGCTCACCATGACCACGCTGAGTACCATTGCCAGGAAATCCCTTCCGAAAGTTTCCTACGTGACCGCCATGGATCTGTTTGTGTCCGTCTGCTTCATCTTCGTCTTCGCCGCTCTCATAGAGTACGGCACGCTGCACTACTTTGTCAGCAACAGGAAGCCGAGCGCCAAAAAGGACAAGAAGAAGAAAAACCCGGTGAGCATTCATTTGTATTTTTAGGATATTTTCTTGAGGTTGTGTTTCCGTTTTCCTTTTTATTTAGCTGAAACGTTAAGTTCTCACTGTCTCTGCAACACAGCATTTATACTACAGGGAAAGTTAAGCTAAACACTGCTAACCCAAGGCAGCCTCCACACAAGTTACTCAACGCCGACGCGAACCCGCGTGTCACATGACACGTGGGCCTTACATCCCTCGAGGGATCACGGCTGCTTGGTTTTAAGGGCCAGGTTTCCTCAACATTACATGTATGAGCCCAGAACGTTTCCGCTCTACAGCGAGGGGAACGTGTGGCGTGAAGTAAGCTGTTACTAGACCAATTAAAAACCTGAAGGCTTCTTCTTGAAAGGAGCGTTCCTTTAACTGAAATCCATCATTGTAGTATTCTGCTTCTCTTTCGGGTGGGTGGGATCAGACCAGGAAGTTGTTGAATGTTAAACCTCTGAACTAAGTGTTCGGCGCTCGGGGGGGGGGGCAGCGGCGTGGAAGTGGTGCTTTGGGAAAAGGAGGCGCTGTGGTTTCAGCCTGTGTAACTAAAGGTTTCTAACTGTCTGCTAGACGAGTGAATGACTAATGAGGTGGAAAGTGTCCGGCCAGTTGGCCATCTCAGAGGGGCTTCGCTCTGCATCACTTGCCAACTCGCAGGAAGGAGAAAACAAGGTTTTGACTGAAATCCACGTGAAACACAAATTGTTAAAAGAATTGAAAGAATAGGAAATCGGGGTAATATATATATGTAATGAATTTAAAGTGTATCTCACTAACTGTAAGCTGTGTACTCGTACCATGCATCTCCCTCTCTGTCTGTTTGTCTCTCTGCAGTTCTAGTTCTTTCCGTTGTGAATTAGCTACTAAAGAGATTGTAAATTTCACACATTATCTCGTGTCTACGTTTCTTTTCATTGACGTTCTTTGTTCTCTGTTTACATGTATTTGTTTTTGTCTGTCACTCTCTTTCAATTCCACATATACTTTGTTTCCTGTCTGGACAAAAGCTCTCCCGGCTCTTTTCCTCAAAGGTATATTGCCTGTGTCTGACTGCATGTGTCTGCTGCATTCTGGCTCTCTTGAGCCCCCCCCCCCCCAGTACCTCACTGTTTTCCAGTCTGCTCTACAGCAGATTTGCCTCTCTTTCCTGCATCAGTTGTCAGACATAACATTAAAAAGCGCAGGGGTGTGGGGGTGCCCTGCGGTGCACAGTGCAGAGGCAGCCAGACAGACCTACTCATAGAACTTTTCAAACTAAAAGAAGCGTCCCACACATCCCGTGTCCAGAAGAAGGTGACAGGCCCCGCGTGGACTCACCCTGGCTCCCTCTGTCCTGTCTCACTCGTTGTTGTAACCATGGTGATCTAGCAGCTTCCTGTTCCTTCCCTTCTCCTGCCAGTGGATCTACCTGTGTGTGTGTTTATTTTATTTTGGGGGGGGGGCTTCTCAACCTGACGCTTCCTACAGAGTCAGCAGAGCCTTAACAGACTGAAACAGACAACCCCTGCCTGGTTAAGTCTATTTAGAAGATCAACTCTCGCGTCTTCAAACACTGACAGCAATAGCAAAGAGCTCGACAAGGCAGTCTTCTTCTCCAAATGATGGTCCACATCAATTATTTATTGGTAGGGATCATCATACAAACAGATCAATCAGATCCGTCCCACACGCGAAGAATCAACTTTTACTTTAACTGAATATTCAGTTGAAGTCAAATAACAAATCATCCAGTAATGATTGTGAGATGTTCTACATTTTGTCTTCTCCAAGAGGTTGTCTACATTCAGCCAGTTAAAGTTGCCAACGCCACTGTGTTGTTTTTATGTTGTTGTTTTTGATTTACTATTTGCTAAATCTGACACGGCTCCGCCCACTTTGGCCCCAGTCGTGTGAGCAAACTGCTGTTCCAAACCATCACAACCTGTCCTGCTTATCTGCTTCATTACCGCAACATGCTGTCCAGTTAATAAGGACAAAAATGGCAAAACCAACTGGTGTTATTTTTGGCTGTGGTTGTACAGTATATCATTTTAAAAAGTACCACAGGTTTATGCTCTAGTGTGGGCAAGATAACCAATTGTAGGGAATGAATAGTTCATTTGGATCAAGTATTTTAAGCCTCATTCATTATGCATGCTAACAGATATTTTCAAACTAAAATGGCAATGCATTGTTTTCAACAATGGTAATTGTAGGTACATTAAAATGAAGCCTAAAAATTAAATGAGTATTTCATGTTTTGGGATCCATGTTGATATAAAAAAAATGTAATAGCATAAATACATGCTCTAAAGCATCTATCTGCTCTAATAGTAGTAGTAGTAATAGTAGTACTTGTAGAATTATTTAAAGATTATTGTGATATTGTAAGAATGAAACGACAGCTACCAGCATTATTTTTAATGGGAAGTAGGGATGTGAACTTCCTAAAAGTTGAGTTCAAAGCCCTGTGTCATTTTTAAATGATGAGCTTGACACTAGTTTATCAGCAAGGTCAAGCAACCTCTGCCGAACGTGGTGGAAGAGGGGGGGGGGGGGGGAGTATTAGATCTGCCAAACTGCCAGAATTCAAGCTTGTGCAGAGGTGGCACAGCATTTCAAGATGAAAGCAGCCGGTTTGAATACTAATTGTCTCCTTTTAGAACAACAGGGCTGCAGACTCACTGATGTCCTATTTTGGGAATCTTAACAAATAAAAGGCATCTGCCCCCCCCCCCCCCCTCCCAGGATGTGTGTTTCAACCCGTTTAGTGACAGAAAGAGTGGGCTGGTGCAGTATTGAGCGGTGTGCCGACACATCCTCCTCCCTAAACATAATGATGTATCATAAGCCAGTTACGACCTTAATAATGCATTTTCAGAAAATAGTTCATCCACACTGGTCCAAACTATGACTTTTTGCCAATAATATATTCTGAACATTCATTCAGCATCAAACTAACTATTTGTGGGTAAAAATGTACTAAGTCCAACTGGGCCAAGAACCAAGGTGCGCTTCTGTACTCTCTGTGCTCTCAACACATAGCAGTGCGGCTGCACGTGCCTTTTAGTGCATGTTAGTGCATGTGAGCGTGCCACTATGGCTAGTTTGCCGCTTTACATTCTACTGATATGGCAATTCTAGAAGATAACGCCGTCCCGTCGCCGCGGAAGCGTGGTGCCCACCCCCCGTCAGGTTAAAACACTAGAGCTCCGTCAGCGATGTTTATGGTGTTTTCACTTCCTTTAGCTCCAGGTCAGCTAGCTCAGCCGTCGCATTTTTAAAGCCACGCAGAGGAACTACATATTTTCTGAATTTTATATCGACTGAATTGTTTTTCAGTATCATATATTTTTTTTAAATCATAAACGCGTGGACATTGTCCGCTGTAAACCAATGTGCTAAAAACATCACGGCTGCTTCAGCCGGCAGCCTAAAGATGTCATTTGCATCACGATTCAACTGTGTACCCTTATAGGCCTTGATAATTACAACCAAAGGTTCAAGCTGGATTTGTATTTTAGGACTTTTAAGGGGTCCATTGGCAAATTGAGAGTGCAAATTACATTTTGCTGACTAACGAAAATCAAATAAGGTAACAGGCAATGGCAGCTCAAATTAGGTGCCCCCAGGTATGCCAGGCAGTTCCCAATCACGCCACTACCGGGGCTTCGGTGGCTAACTGTGTGTCTCTTTTTTGTGTCCAAAAAGCAGACACCCACGGTTGACATCCGTCCACGCTCGGCCACAGCCATTCAGATGAACAACGCCACGCACATGCAGGAGCGGGATGAGGAGTACGGTTACGAGTGTCTGGACGGGAAGGACTGCACCAGCTTCTTCTGCTGCTTCGAGGACTGCCGCTCCGGAGCGTGGCGGCACGGCAGGTTGCACATCCGCGTAGCCAAGATAGACTCGTACGCGCGCATCTTCTTCCCCACTGCGTTCGGCCTCTTCAACCTGGTGTACTGGGTCTCCTATCTGTATCTCTAGGCCTTGGTGGGTTTCCAGCCTTATCGTATAGCTCATTACATCCTACATATGCTCCGTGCCGGCAAGGGACAATGAGAAAGAGGGGACCCACTGAAATGACCACTGATTTGATTTAAATTTTTTTCCTTTAATTCCTTAGTTTTAATCCCTTGACATTTTTTTCTTTTTTATTTGAGAACTTTGACAGACATTGCAAATGTTGTAGCATTACATTTAACTGGTAGGAGGAGGTTGTGAAATCATTGACTATGTAAGTAATTAAGAGAAAAAGAAATTGTGTTCATGGTGATGTGATATGATTTTGGACTTTTATTTTGAATTCCCTCAATTTCTTCAAAAGGGGATCTTGTACAAATTGCTTTATTTTAGGACAAATACATCCCTTCTATAGAAAACAATTGATAGGAATCCTAATTCAGATCACATCAAATGCAAAAAAATGACATTATTTATGTCTTATCATTCCTTTTCACTTTTATTTTTCACTTAAAAAACTAAAACACAGAATCTGAAGCACTTTAACAGAGCTATGTTTGACTGTGATGCTAATTTAAGTAATTCATTTAATCATTGGCACAATTGCTCATTGCATTTTACGTGTGTGGTCAGAGACAAAGAGGTTAATGCTATCCATGGGACATGCTCATCTGTACAGACACTGTATATATTTTACTATTAAATAGTGGTTTACATTTATTGCATGCACCTTTCAAGCCAAAAATCAACATCTTTTATGGTCTTCTGTTGTTGGCTACGAAAATATTTAAAAAATGACCACTGTTGATTAACATTTAAGATTTAATTAAACTATTTTCTAGGAAAATTGGAAAACTAAATGATAAAAATGTGCCCGGTTTATCCTTTTTGTTTGGGAATCATATTGCATACAGGTAGGAGGATGAGTACAGAATCAGGCCGAAACAACCGCTTTAATTATTTTCCTCACGGCTATTAGCTCACAGTACAGACAGCACTGACCTCTCATGCTCCCCTTCATTTGCTGTTAAAAGTGTGCGTTTACATAATGACACACTTCTGTTTATGTAATCTTTTACAAGAGAAACTGTGCTAAAAGTATTGTTTTCTTTAAAACACACATTGTTGTTTGCCCTTTACGTCGTCAGAGTGAAAGCTGCAACAGTGTAACCGTCACTTTAATGTGAACGCTGACACACTTTTGGGGTATTTTGTGATCCCTGCAGTGGTACGTGATTTATTCCATGTGTCATTCTTCTGAGTTGAGCAACAGAACAAAAAAACTGAAAAATATGAATGATATCAAATTAATTTAACTACAAAAATCACCTTCTTTTTGCGTGAAAAGGTGTGTATACTTTATTATCAAGCGCCTCATGTCCTATTTCTGTTAAAGAAACACTGAGAATTTAAATTATTAGAATTTTATTATTTTTAATATGTTTTTTTTTCATTTTTCCTATAATATTAGCTTGAATTTCATAACGCGTAAGAGCGTCTTATACAGTGAGGTCATTTGAATTGTAAATGTGTATAATAATATGTAACTCACACAAATGAAAAACACTTACAGGTTACAGATTCGGATAGACGCCGGCGTATAACAAATGAAGACAGTGCTTCAGTATAATTTACAAACTCAAAAGCTGTGGGTCTATATCACATTGTTTATGTAAATAAATTATGAACGGAAGAAAACACTTTTCCAGCCCTTGGGATTTTGTAAAACGGTATATATTTTGTAATTTCAGCATTGTTACAGTATATCATCATACAACATATTAGATTTATTCTACTATGCTGGACTGACCATGTAGAAAATGTTGGGTTATTGGGGTATTTATTTATTTATTTATTCATAATGCTATTTATTTATTTCATTTGAGAAAATGTATTTCATGTTCACACAGCCCATGAAAAGAAACACAGAATGCTGTCATTTATATCAAAGATGCATTTTTGTTTGATGTGTCAATGGAGCTTGAGCTTATTTATCTTGTGTTTTCTATGTTGTGGTTGATGTACACTACTCTCACAAAGGCCTGTCGCACTGTTATAACTGTTGAATTTGTGAGTTGCAACATTACTTTTTTCGCAGATTCTGGGTAGGAGACTATTTTCCGATTGGGGGGAAAAAAAACACAAAAAACATTTCCCAAGCCACCAGAAGAAGAACATTTGCTTGTCTACGTGACTGTTGATGATATCCACCTCCACAAGGGTTTTCTTTGGTCTTGGTATTTGAGATCTTTAATAAAGCATCAGTGATGATATTAACATATTCATTTACCAGATTATCTCATACTTGCTGAAGTTCTTTCCATTTTTCCTATTTAAATGTGGCCCGTTTGTTTTCCGAAGCTGCCACTTAGTACTCAGTGTGCACATCCTCCACCTCTGGCATCTTTTGGGACGTACGTGCGTCACTAGCGACGTAGGATGCTCATCATCAGTATTCTGTAGATAGAACTGTACAAGAGTGATTACATCTTATAAAGTGCCAAACTGACACAAATGCAATAGAGAATATCAAACTATAATATCATTTTATCTACTTTTACTGCCTTGAAGAAAAAAGGACATTTGCTTAAAGTGTGCATTTCCTTAAAGGAAATGCTACAAAGCAAACGTTGACCACACCATGTTTCCTCAGACATTTATTCATGTATCTATGTGTTGTTATTTTTTGCTTATTGATTTGTTACTGATAGAAAAGCATCAGGACAATAGTTTGAATGTAGACCAGACCATTAACAACAAAACATAGTTAAGGCTAATATTAATACACTTCAGGCTTAATCCTGGTTGAATCAGACGTTGTCAGGATGGTGGATTCGCAGATAAACAAACATAAAACACGGAAAACCGTGTGCAAAAAAACCTGATTTGAGTATTTCCATGATGGTAAAAGCTTGTTTATACATTTGTCTACACTGTACTGTAAATGCAGATCTTTAAAGGCATATCGGAGGTACGATTTATTCAGTGGTGTGCATGTTGGATGTCTTTTCACAATTGGGACTAATTCAAGCACTGTTTCATCTAATCTCAGTCTCAGTTTGCCTGCATTGACATGGACCTTTATTACACTGTACTCATTTTTGACGAGAGTGATTCCATTTATTCTGGGACCCACAAATGAGACATATTATGTAAACCGCACATGTAGATATTTTCTATTGTTATGTATATTATCAACAGGTGAAAACAAAATAATACACACTGGAATTATTGAGCTCAAAAGTACCCAAAAACAAAAAACAATTCCATATGATCCTCCTACATACGTTATGTTAGCTGTTTGTCATCTATGTATGTTGAGTATTGTTAAAAAAGGGGGGAGGGGGCACTCATCAATTCTGTTAGGATTTGCATTATATTCTATATATGTACTGAAAAAATCCTTTTCATAAGGGAATGGCACATAGCTGTGGAATTTTACAATAAAATGGTTGCAGTTATCACTGGCATCATCATTATTATATATTGCTATATGTTTTTGTGCTCGTAATACTTATGTGCTATGTTACATTTCTTACATATAAATGATACTGTGAACAGACAGCCCTTTACAATTTTTACATGTAAAAGCTTACATGAGTAGAAGTACAGTTCTGATTTCGTACATGCCGGTAGTTGATCCCAACTGGGGATGTGGATCCTTCCAAAGGTTCACTGTGCAGGAAGAAGACATGCATCGTTCATGGAATATTTTAAAGCTATTACCTTTTGGGGATCAGCATAGCTGGTTGTGATGCAATATGACAATAGATTTCAACTTATGATGGAAAAAATGAATATGGCAGCCAGTAATCCAAATTAATGGTGAAGCATCTGCTAACGTGTCAATGTCTCCAACTGGTACGTCATTATGTGGTCGTGTGTGTGTGTGTGTGTGCCTGTTCACCTCTATCTCACATGCTGCTGCAGCAAACCACATCATATTTTGGTTTCTGCGTGTTCAAGGACCTCTGGTGGTTGCCATGACTCACACTTTCTTAAAAAGATATTATATTGGCTTTTTTACAGCGCTTTGCACTGCCTGCTGACTCCTGTGCATAACAGTTAATGTTTGGCTAGGAGCTACCAGAACCCTAACCTCTCTGTTTGTCTAAACCCTGAAGCTGAAACTGTAGCCGGATCACAGTTTGGGGAATTGGGATTTGAAGAAGATTAAATGAAGTTTAGCTTTATTGCTTTATACATTGCTGCTTGTTTTCCACTTTGAATGACGTGTGAGTCTACTTACTGCACACTGCTGTGTAAACAGTTAGGCTGGACAATTATGAGTTGTAATCATTCAATCACACAACACAGAAGTGGTCTTTGAAGACACCACCTGGCAGACATCGGCACCCTCCTGACTGCACCTTCCAAGTATAGTATATTGGTTTGACCAGGAGTTCAGGCGATAGAGGGAGGCTGATCACATCCAACTCTTAAGAGTCTGCCAATGAAAAAGAGCAGTTGACGTTAATAGAAGATAATTATAGCCTCTATAAATGGATAAAAAGATAGAAAGCAAATGTTTCCTATTGAAAGAGGCTATCATTTTAAGAGCTGCCTAATTGTATAATCAGCATAACGTAGTAGCAGAGTAAAGTACAGTATTCACTGTCTTCTGTAAAGGCCAACAGTCAATGCACGGATGAATTGCTTAATTTCATTGGGGTAGTTAAAACAAACAAAATGCACAAAGCATTGTGTTGGCATGGATTTAAGAATTTAGAACACCAGGTTAATTGATAAGCTACTACAGTAAACACCTTCCTCTTCTGTAGCAATGCTGCAAAATGCCTAAAACGTATTGATCACTATCATCCCTCTTGTTGGGGCAAAATACATTTAATAGGATTTCCTCTCTGTCGGTTCGACACACCACAGGTTTTTAGTGCAATTATCAAGCTTTTCTACTCAACTTTTGCAGCATGATTCCAAAACATCCAGTCGCTGAATAATCTGATTTGTTTTCTGAAAACAGCTAAGCACTTTTGTTTGGGATGACTTAACTGCAACCAGAATAATCTTTTCATTACCAAGAGTCCTGTGTTGTTGTTTGTTTGTTTTTTTCCATGTAGGAATAGCACGGTCTGTCCATCCTCTCGTCCGGGGACTCTCTTATATCCTTCCAGGAAAGTGCGCACTGGATGCAGAGCGGCCATTGGGGCCGACGGGGCCCCCGTGCTGCTGGCCCCTCTGCCTCCACCGGGCAGTGCGGCAGCTGCAGAGGACGTGAATCCCTCTGATCATAACACAACCGTCCGCATCGCACAGCCGTCGCAGTCCTTTCATCGGCCCCCGGGAGCGGGGCTCTGTGGCGGGTACAGAGCCGATGGGGGGGGCAAGTCCTGCATGAGTTATGCGCGCTCTGCACACGGCTCGCTGTTCAGGAGCTTCGCCCCGCTGGTCCCATCACTGCGGGCCGCGAGAAATCCAGAATGGCTCCTTTTTTAATCATTCCGCCTCGGGGATGTTTTAAGATTGTCAATCGATCCGTTCCATGCAAGTGAATGCAATATCTACGCAACGCTTCAAAGGAATTTGTTTCAGTGATAAGAATGCGGGGGTCAGAAGTCAGTGGGATCTCACATAATACAAGTTTTGCCTAAAGGAATTCAGGAACAAATTTCACAAGAATACGTTAAAGAAATAGAACTGAACGCAATTACTATTTCTACAAGCTTTACTGTTTCAACGATATGTACTCTGACTTTTGAAATCATCTTTCATGACTTTTAAAAAAATACTATACAATGACTTTTAAAAAAAGTTTATTTTTACATACTACACTCCAACTTACTTAATATCACATATTATTGCATGACTTTTTTTGCCATGTTCTACAATGACTATTTTCTGAATTATTTGTTATGTTGAGTTGTGTTGTTGTTATGTTGATTTGATTTGTATATGTTTTCTTCTGACTCTGTGACATTTCGGCTGAACTGTCTTGTCTTGTGACTTTTGTAATAACGTTTTAGGGTTCACCGTGGCTCCTGCTTCAGCAAGACACTCAACCTGAAAATTGCTCCCGAAGCAACGAGAGCAGCATGTGGATGTTATTTACTCAAGGTCAGGTGGCGCCGTGTACGGGACCCTGTCATCAGTGTATGAATGGGTGAATGATGACATGTAGTGTAAAAGTGCTTTAAAAGAGAGCTATATACAGTACAGTACATTGGTACAGTTGTCTGTTCATAAGGCCTTTGTAGGTCTATGTACTCGTGACCTTGCCTGCATATTTTTTTAATCTTTATATATGTGTGTTTATGTGTATATATATGTGTGTGTGTTCTTTCCATTTACCTGCTATAATGTGACTTTGTTTGCCGTAATACACTTTTGACATGCTATAATATTACTTTCATGTTATTTTTTTCAACATGCTATCGTCATAGAGCTGGTTAAAACAATGTACGGTGGCGGCATCAGTTATCAGCAGGTACATTTATGTATGAAAGTCTTGCAGTGTGTGCGATGCAGCAGAACTCAAACTCAACTGTGTCGTGCCGGTGACACAAAGGACCTTCCTCCAGAGAGACCAAGGAATGAAGGAGTATTTAAGGGCACCGGCTCAAGTGTGTCTCATACGGCTGATAGCCGTCTATGCAGCACCTGGGGGCGACGGTGGCTCTGCTGGTAAGTAGGGTCATCCTTCAATAAGAGGATCAGCGGTTCAATCCCCGGCTCCGCTAGTCCATGTCCGCGGCTCGCGTTACTGTGACGTCGGTGGGACACGGCTGTGGGTGAGTTGTGTGGCAACACGTGTGGCGTCTGGTCATGTTTATGTTGGGGCAGGATGGTAACACCAAAACGATCGGCAGTACAGTTTGTCTTCCTTATGAACGTTCCTGTTTTCATACTCATTTTGAATTGCTATGTAAAACATGTCTTGACTTATTTCAAAAAGATTGGCGACATATTTTAAATTAGAGTACATTGAAACTTTTTTTCGTAGTTAATAATTCCTCTTTCTCAACACTACTGACCCTGTGCGTCTCCTCTACTTTTTTTTCAGCATAGTTGCCCTGCAGCGAGAGAAAGCTGCAGGTGTAGATATGTTTTAATCTCTAATCTCTCACAGTGACTGACTTCTTGGCTGTGACTAAATCTGTGAAATTAGAACACTCAGTAGCTTTGGGTTAGAATGCTGACGAGAGCACAGCCTCGCTAATGTTGATTAAAGCAGCTTAGAAAAGTTTGGGAGACGTTCCGTATTTAGAAACGAGTTTGCGTTCTCAAAATAAACATCTATTTTTTGTGGGGATATTAGAAGATGTAAGATTGTTCTTTACTTGCCGTAGAGACTCGATAGCTCCCAGTGGGGCAGCCACCTGTTCTTGTGTTTCGATTCCACTATTATACACTTACTGATATGACCAATTGTGTTTTCTTGTGTATCTTCATCTAGTGTTTTGCTATTCATGTCTGATCGACATCAATGCTCCATTAAAAGATAACAGTGAGTGCAACGTGAGACATCGATGTTTGCTCTGCATCCAGCAACTATGAAACATAATCAAAGTCTGATAAACCAATACTATCACCAGGATTGTCTGGTTTTGAGATTATCTGTAGAAACGAGCTTTGACGGGCCCGATGGAGCGTGCGACCAGGAGCGTCCCCCGCAACCCGACCCGCCGTTTTGAACAAGGATACAAATCGTTGAAGAGAGTCAAACGTTCTGTGAAGGTGAGACATTTGACAGCTATTTATAAACCACACTCTCGCGCTCACGCGCACAGATACAAATAAAATGTGCAGGATGGTGATAAGAGTGTTGTTCACAGATACAATAAGGACCATGTTGCGCTGACCTTTTCCACTTCCACCTCCTCTTGGGTGTAGAGCCAGTTTACCAAAATATATGACACTGCTTTGTCCTTCAATGCTTACAAACAACTATCCATCTTTACATTGTAAATTGCGGTCTATTGTAATCGAGTTGAAATACAGATAGCCAATCCAGACTGCACTCAGTCCATAGGTGTTTTCTAAAGGATTACCTGCCTGCATAGGGCTGCCTGCTTTTCTCATACATCAATGCCATTTTTGACAATCTCCTCCAAAAGAACTCTGTTCACCCTTCACAGAGGTTTTTACAAAGACAACTTTGTCGGTGCTTTTCAACGACATGAGTTATGTTGCTTTTCATGTGAAAATGACATTTGGCACGATGAGTAAGATGGGTGAGGGTTTGGGTATGAATGTCAGGGTCAGTCACCCAGAGGCCGAGTGGGCCTTTTCTGGCCTCGGCTGAAGAAGGATCTGTAGCATTAAAACTGAGTGAACCCCCCTGGCGTGGTTACAAAAAGTCGCTTTCCAAGATGGTCTATTTATAGAATATATTCCTATTATACATGGCTTTACGAATCCACGAGCGAACTGGAAGGTATTTTACCAATAAAGTAGTACAAATATAAACTTTATAAATATATAGATCACAAAATCTGTATGGTGG